ATGTGGAGTATGGGTTGTGGGGGGGGGGGGGGGCTTGAAAGTGTTGTTCGGTGATTAATAGTTGTCGTTAGTCAATGTAAAAGTGTTGTTCTTTGCTGCGAGAAGCTGTAGAAGCACTGTCCAATGCTCCTAGCAGCTGCCCGATGTCGTAGGAAGCTGTATGACCACTACCCAAAGTTCCAAGCTGTTGTCCGGTGTCATAGGAATGTTGTAGGGTGCTATCCAATGCACCTAGCTCTGCTTAATGTCGTAGGAAGCTGTAGGATCACTACCCAAAGCTCCAAGTCGTTGTCCGGTGTCATAGGAATGTTGTAGGGTGCTGTCCAATGCTCTTAACTGTTGCCGATGTCGTAGGAAGCTGTAGGATCACTACCCAAAGCTCCAAGTCGTTGCCCGGTGTAGTAGAAGTGTTGTAGGGTGTTGCCCAAAAGCTCCAAATCCACTATTTGAAGTGCAGGTATGCTGTAGGGTGTTGTCCAAGGCTCCAAAACCACTGTTTGGAATATAGGAGTATTGTAGGGTGTTGTCCAAGGCTCCAAAGCCACTGCCCGGTGTCGTAAAAGTCATTTAGGCACTGTCCACCATTATTTGGGTTTGTAGGAAATTGTGTAGGAGCTGCCCATTTCTGTTTGGGTTCATAGGAACCATACAGGTACCTCCTAGCTATTGTCTGGAGTCGTAGGATCACCGTATACACTTGCTAGTTGCTTCCCGGAGTCGTATGAGGTCGTAGTATTACCGTACTAGCTCGCTAAGTGCAGTCAGGAGTTGTAAGAAACCATAGGATCACCTGTTTGGAGTTCTTTGTTGTTGCTACAACTTATTCTAGTGCTTACTGTTTTTTTTCTTCTTTTCTCTGCAAATTATATTGTGCTTTGTGAATTAAACATGCAACAGGAATAGCAGCAGCAGATACGCCATGTACGCAGGTACATTTTATTTGTTGTTGTTTATTTATTGCAATTACTCTTGCTCTAACACATTATGCAGGTACTGAATACAATCTCACTTTCAAAACAAAATGATTTTTCAAAATTAAACAACATTTTCAAAACAAAAAAATTAAAACATAATACGTTCTTTCGAATTTACGGGAGTCCCTCGGATGAGGTAACTCACGGTTGCTAACGAGATCTCTCCGGTTTAAATGGGTTTCACGACTCATTTAGACTAAGTAAATTCAAAAGAAAATAGTGATGTCGAAACGAGGGAACTGTGGGATCCTAACCGGTGTCGCTCTAATCAGCTTTAACTCCCCCACCAAAATGACAAGAAAACTGAGACATTGAAACGTACATGGTACAACTTTTGAACCTTAGACTTTCTGACTGCTGCGTCGACAAGGAATTTGGAGCAACTTCGTGGGCAGCGCGACAA